AAGGCTGCAGAACCCTCAAGCCCAGGTCAGGAAGGACATCCTGCAAAAAACAATTGTCAAATATTTCATGTGAGTTTTCTCACTCAAAAGGGAGCAGCCAAAAGTAAAACAACTTGGACAAAACTGTGTTGCAAAATGTCTGCAAAGACCAGTCTGTCTTCTAGATGCCTCTAACTGTTCATAAATCACTAATCGAGCTTGATTAGTGATTTGTAATATAATATACTTACACATATGCATAATAACTGTCAAAACAAAACTATAAAAGTAGTCAACTCATGCTGAATTGAAAAGCTTTATGATTCTGGGGTGAATGGATCTGTTTTAATGGCAAAACCATCCTTAAAGGCAGAATAGAAACACAAAACTTTAGGGACTTTTGGTCTTTACAACTTTTTTCTGATTGACCTGAAGTCATGAGGTATGACACACACCGCATGCACAAACTGTGACTCATGGGCAATCCACCCCCAAACATATCCACATCTAGTCCAGAAAAAAACCTCTCTGTACCTTTAGGTAAACACTCACATTGTGACACTTGCTCTGGGCCACTTTGACAGGAATCCACAGCCCACTGCCTCCAACAGGCAACCTATACTCACACACACGTGACAAAGAAAGAGGGAAGAAGACACAAAGACATAATTCATAAATGTTTTATTTGCAAAAGGTAATAAAATAAACTGTTTAATTAAAGTTAAATTAACCAAACAGAGCTGCTGAACCAATCAAACCAAACCAAACCAAACCAAAAACCCTGGAGGCCAAGAGGGAGCGGAGAGAGCGATACACTCTTTATATAGAATTCTGAAGAAGCAGTTCAGGTGTTTCCAATCAGTGTGATTGCTGCACTCCAACGGTCACCTGACAGGGTCATCACAAAACCATGTTTTTCTATCTTCACAGGGACTTTCCATAGACTTCCATTCATTTTTTTCCCACAACTGTGACTCCTAAGGTCAATTCACGCCAAGTCCTAGACCTAACCCCTCAACTAAAAACATTATTTTGAGCTTGAGGTCCAGGGTTTGGGCTCTGTAAGAAGCAATGGGTCCTAACAAGGTAGTATATTTAGGAGAAATGGGCCTAACAGAGTAAGAAATGACACACAAACAATTAAGCTGAAACTGCTCTTTGTCTGGCATCCTAACATGTAAAGTAGTGTCAGATTAAACAGTGTAACAGCCATGGTTGACAGATTTGAAAGCAGGAGTGCCATCTTCAGATGGTTTCTACAGAAGCCTTCCATATGGTTCTGTATAACAAACCATCTGGCACGTCTGGTTAGTCTAGTGTTTATGGGATCTAAAATTAGGTTGCCTGGAGCAGCCCTGGTAATGTGTGCTTTGAAAATGAATTGAGAAATAAGGATTTAGGAAACCTCTGCTGTGACTGATGACTGAACAACTGTAAGACTAGAACTGACTGAAAGACCAGACAATCTGACTATCATCATCACTAACTTAAACACAGTGTAAAGTAAATTGTAACTTTTTCTTCTTTAAACATTATAAATGTCATTAATGGATTGTTGTACAGGTGCTGGTCATAAAATTAGAATATCATTAAAAAGTAGATTTATTTCAGTAATTCCATTTAAAAAGTGAAACTTGTATATTATATTCATACATTACATACAAACTCATA